GCACATCCTCGCCTGGCCTCTCATGACTGTAGGGATGCTGCAACAGTCGTAAGTGTGAAAAATGGTCATAAGTCACTTTTTTCAGTGCCATTGTAACTTTGAATGGTCACGCCACACAAGCAAAGTATCAGCAAAGGAGGGGGGAAAAACTCCAGAGAAGTTCCTGGGACAAAAAGTCTAGTCCTGCCAAGAATGTAATAAGGGTTAACGGAGAGGCAGTTTCTGTAAGCAACACCAGAATGTTTCCTTCCTGCCTTCCTTACAGGATTAGGCCAGTAATTTCTTCTAACAACCAGTTCTCCAAAATGCTTAGAATGGTAACCGTTCTAGCGAATAGGTGTGAACTGGTAGAATCCCACTCCTGATCCTATCCTATCCTACTCTTCTTCTATTGCTAGGGTAATGAAACATTTGCAAGAAAACAAGCAAGCTCAGAGGGCACCAAGGACCCCTCATTTCAGCCTGAGCTATACACATTCTATTGAGACCAGACTAAGAGTAGCTTTGTCCATTCCATTCCCTATTCCTATTTCATGCAATTTGAAAAATTATTGTAAGCTGACTTTTCAGTGTGTATTTCATGCCATTTTGGGTGACAGTTTTACGAATGGTGTCATAAGGACTGTTATGTATTGACTCACCCATTTGTTGTTAACTAAAGCTGTTAATAGTCATGATCTGACTTTGGTGGAAGTGAGTTTGTTCTGAATAAAACATATTAATACAAAACCAAACTAGTGGTTAAGGCATCAGGCTAGGAAACATGACGCTCTAGTCCCACCTTTTAAGTCCAGCCAGATGGCTTTTGGGCAGTCATTCTTTCAGCCCAACAGACCTCAGTGGGTTGTTGTTGTGGGGAAAATAGGAGGAGGAAGGAGTTATTAGGCATGTGTGCACCATCTTGAGTTATTTATAAAAAATAATAAAGGCGGGATATATATATATCTACACACATATGTATTAGAGTATATATAGTATATACATATCATATTCATATACATACCATGTTTCTCATATAATAAGGCCGGGTCTTATTTTTTTTTTAAGCCCCGAAAAAATGGCTAGGCCATCTTTTCGGGGGTGACTTAATTCCCCCCCCCCCTTGCATCTTCGACCGGGCAGCGATGGCTTGGATGTTGACCTCGGCATTGGTGGGGCACTTCATATCGGGGTCAACACAGGCAGCACCGTATCCGAGTGTGCAACAAAAGTACTTCCTAACGGCAAGCCCCCGCCACCATTCCCCCCCATTTTGCATGTTTTAATATAGGCCTTAATTTGGGGGGAGGGGCTTAATTTCATTTCATGCCTATAAAACATGCTGGGACTTCCTATTGGGGGAGGCCGTATTGTTGGAGAAACAGGGTATGTATACACACATATTACAGACACAGAGGAAGAGAGAACGATGCTAGTCACTGCATTAAAGAAAACCTCCAGGATCTCACTGTGTGTGGTTGAAGATCTTTAACTTTAGCAAAGGTACTCTTCCCTTCTCTGAGAGGGGAGAACAACCAGTCCAACTCTTCCATGAGTGTTCCAGCTTCTTCAACTTTTAGACTGCTTTCTCCTTGAGCAGCCAAAACAATCAGACTGCATTCCACACCAATGCTAGCAACTCCCTTACCTCCCAGAGGTAGATGCTTTCAGCAATGCCTGCCAAGATGTAGAGACCGTTGGGAGCAGCTGTCAGGCAAGCCACTGGGCCTGGGCATATTATCTTCTGCTGGAGTTGATCCTAGAGACACAGAAATAGAAAGCCAATGAGCACGGATACGCTTGTCCTGAAAAGAGATTCAACAGGGATCAGAGGGAGCAAACCCTACCTGACAAACACAAGGAGAAGGTAAGAGTGTGTGCCAGGCTCGAGAGGGAGAAACTGTCACTCGGTGGTCGAACACACACTTGAGTTGCATGCAGAATATTCTAGATTCAATCATCCGGTTAAAAAAAAGGACCAGGCAGAAGGAATAGAAAACCCACTCTGCCTGATCTATAGATGCTAAGTGAACAATATAATATAATGTAAGATAAGCATGTACAATTAGATTGCTGTAGTAAGACTAGAGACATCCAGAATAACCCAACTGTTTCCCATTTACAACATAGGCTTGGGGATGCCTTTAAGAAGTCCACAAATGAGATACTAAGTCAATGGCTCTCTTCTGCTATTGCTCCCCTGCATTTGGAGTCCAATTATTTTCAACCTTGGAGCTGCAGAGTTAATCCAAACACAGTCATTATCGCTGATGGAAATTCCCCTTTCTTAGCACTCCTCTATCGAAAACGGTCCAAGCCGATGGCCATTCTTGCCTTAGTAGGAAATGCCTTTCTAGGAGACACTTTGTGCAAAGAAGTCCTTTATTAATTTCTTCCCAAACGAGCCCTTAAATAATAAAGTTGTAGCATTATAAGCAGCAAAGTATCTCACCAGTTCTTTCTTAGTCTTTATGCTTGACCAAATGCCAACACTAAATTGCACCTAAATGAGAACTCTTACAAACAGGATTACAAGTGTTTTGTGCCTGCAATACAATTTAAGATTGTCAACTCTAAAACTTCCAGGTGTAAATACTCCAGATTTGGGTGATGGGCCATTTAAAGAGAGAAATAAATTCACAGAAGATAAACCTTAATTACCAGAGGCCAAGGTAGATTCTAAGCAGGACATTGCTAAGATCCAACAATGCTCATAAAAGGCACAAGGGAATGTTAGCATTTTTAAAATAAGACGTAATTTTGATGAGCTGCATTAAATACATATTCCACATTGGGGCGAATATGTTATTCGTCTTGAAAATGGATGGAGACCCAGAGATGCACTAAAGCTTTTTTGTCTCTATTGGGATAGAATATTCATCTTAAATAATTGAAGGAACATGTATGTCTACATATTTGTAGTCTTTCCAACTGAAATAACTCTGGATCAACACAATAAAAACAACAATCAAAGCACACACATAAAAAGATAAAGGAGTATATTTGTAGCTCTGGGTTGAAAAGAGGGGTCCTTGATGATTGGTTATCCAACCTCTTCTTTAAAACTTCCAGTGTTGGAGATATGGTTATAACCAAGAATCATGATCTTGATTCTTGATTATAACCATATCTTATTCAGTGTCTGGACAAACTGCCAAAGGATATTCTGATTTTTCTTCTTCCACTTTTTCTCCTTGTTCCACTTTTTTTTCCTCTCGTACATTTTTTTTTGCTTTTTCTTCTCCTTTTAAGGATATTATATGTTCATATTTTGAGAGCTGCAGAGCCATCTTAACTGGAAATGAAATGTTCCTTTTCTCATTTTGTTTTTCCTATTTTATCATATTCTATCACATCCAATTTTACTTTTTATGTTCTATTGGTTTTTTTCTTTATTGTTGGCTTGCATTTATCTAATTTGTATTCAGATAGTTAACAATTACTAATGTGCGACTCATAGCAAGATGATGGGTTTTTTTTACTGCAAGACTATTACACATTAACACACATTAGGATATACTTCAGCTCTTACAAAAAAATGATATTGGAATGATATTTATTTATGGACCATCAGAATTCATTTAACAGAATTTAGTTAGGCTTAAGATAAAAGGGTTGGAAAAATGTTTCTATGGATACTGCTAAATGGGAGTCATTCAATCTTACCTCCTGGGATACGAAAAATAATTTTAAAATTGAAATTGCAGGGTACTTTATATTTTGTATGGAATTCCTTATATACATATTCTGAAAACCACTGTACTGTTTCATATATTTCTATGTGAAACCAGTTATATTTGAAGAAGACGCAATTGTCAATTTAAGATGAGGCTTTTATTTTTCCAAATCTTGAATCAGAGTACTATGCATGCCTTTCTACTGGCACCAAATTCGACTAATTTTCATGCAGCATCAATTCTTCACTCTGGACACTTCTGGAATATCTGTACAGTATACAGCTAGTCCTCGACTTATGACTGCAATTGAATCCAAAATTTCTGTTGCTACGCAAGGAAGTTAAGTGAGTTTTTGCCCCATTTTACAGATTTTTTGCCACAGTTGTTAAGCAAATCACTGCAGTTGTTAAGTGAAACATGTGGTCATTTAGTGAAACTGGCTTCCCTGTTGACTTAGCTTGTTGGATGCTGGCTAGGAAGGTTATAAATGGAGATCACATCACTCCAGAACAATTCAACTGTCATAAATTCGTACCAGATGCCAAGCACCGTAATTTGAATTTTGTAACTGTGGGGATGCTGTGATGGTTGTAAGTGTGAAAACCTGTCAGAAGTCACTTTTTTCAGTGCCACTGTAACTTTGAATGCTCACTAAATGAATGGTTACAAGTTGAGGATTGCCTGTATAATGCCTTAAGTAATTAGACAATTTTGAGTTCAAAAGTCAAAATTATACTATCCTATTTCTGGGGAAAAAATGGATTTAATCCTTTTTCTTATGCTAAATTGATGCATGTTGGTAGAATAGTCAAGATCTAAAACTGATTTAAAAATGACTTTATGGAAGGTACCAATTAATACTGCGAAATTACAGTAACTCAACTGGCATATGGCAACAGGGAGTTTTAATTTCTATGTTACAAGATATAGTAAATACCATTTGTCAGTTGCCACCCTGTGGTGGCATGTACAATTACATTAACTGCCATTTCAATTTGGACTAGAGGTATTTTCAGCCTCGAAGACATCTAACGTATTAGATGGGATCATTAAATCCTGTAAGACCATAAAAGTCCAGTCTTTATAAATAGCTATTATCAAATCAATCTTATATGAGAACTTTAAAGTGAGAATGCAATAGGGAACAGACTCCCAATTTTCTCAAATGACAAAGAAAATGTTTTAACCTCAATACCAAACGTCTTATTAGATCCTAGATGGCAGCTTATATGACAAAAAATAATTATTTTGGACCAGCGGGGTACCACCACATTTGTGCAGAAAAGAGATAAGTAAATTCACCAGAATAGCACTTCATTAAAATATACGCTGTTGTAATATCCTAAAAACAGAGGGCAGAGACAGAAGGCGGATATGGTGGGAAAGGAAGATGCAGAGGTGCTTGTAGAGAGGTAGAGTGAATGGACGGGTGTAGGGTGGTGCGGAGAAGGCAGGTTTGGGAAGAGTGGACGAGTCCAAGTGGGTATGCAACAGTTGAATCTTTGTGACCGAAGTGAAGGAACATAAGGAAAAGATGCTAAGAACACTGACAGATGGGCTGGTATGCAGGTCACATGGAAGGGGATGAAAGACAGTTCTGTACGGCATTATTTGCCTTTCTCTCAGATTTGTCTTGGCTAAAATCTGAATTAACCTAGGTAATCAGCTTTTATTTTGTGCACATTGCTGCTTCAAACGTCTCGCACAAGCAAAACACTGAGAAAATAAATTCTCAATAATTAAACTGTTGAGAAGAAGAAAAGGGTTACACCTGTTTAAGCTGATTCTTCCCCGTTCCCCACCATCTTTCTCCTTGGGCCAGCGCAACGTGCAACATGTTCATACCAGTGTAATAAAATATAACGTTACATACATATATGGGTATATGGGAATGTGCGTTAGTTATTACTTATTTGGGTTTAGGGATTCTATTTCTTTCATTTATTGAGTTATTGAGATGTATTTTGTGTTTGGGGGGGGGGGCTGCACCAAGGGAGGCTCATTTCAATTTCATTGTATGCATGTTGTACATTGACAATAAACATTTGATTTGATTTGCTTATTATCACAGGTAAGTTGCAACAGACAACCCTCAAGAAAAGCAGATGTCAGCCAACGGAAGGATGCTACCCCTGCTTTAGGGCATTCTCTTGCCACTCCTGTAACAAACAGATGGTGAGGATTTTGGTCCTGGGTAAGAACTACTGTATAAGCCCCGTTCTTCTGGCTCTAACACAATCCTCCCTAAGCGAAGGGACTAAGCAATGGAGACAAAAGAGACTTTTTACTGGGATGACACCACCTTGCCTCTGCTTCTTTTTCAGAAGGAATTTCTTGGAGGGGAAGAAAGAAATTCTTTCTTGGGGAAAGGCCTTTTGGAAATTCTGGACTTCAGTATCCATAATCCATCCATCAGTTTCAACTCTACTCCCCATACTGTTTAGGGCCAATGAAATGTCCCTCAAGACAGAAATCCACATTTCAAAGTCAGCACCAGGTAGTTTTCTGGATACAGTTGGGGCGAGGGGTGTCTATTGCCCTATGCTTTACAGTAATGTTCCGAACCTGGACAACTGTAACATTCTGAGGACTCAAAAAAGAAGATACTTTTTGAGACTTTCTGACATTTCAAGAATATATAGGCAGTTGGCAATGGGAATGGATAAAATGTGGGAGGAAAGGTAAAGAGATAATCCAAAAAAAAAAACAAAAAACAAAAAATAACAGGTACCACCTTGTGAGAAGTGGAATCAATTGGTAATTACGAGGTAGGTTTAATTTTATTTCAAAAATAAAACGATCAAATTATAGTTCAAGTGAAACACGCCATCTGCAAAACCTTCTTCATATTCCAGAATTCTCGGCACTGAACATGCCGGATGGGGAATTCTGGGAGTCTAAATTTACACATTTTGCAGAACATCTAGACCAGTGGTAGTCAACCTGATCCCTATCACCCACTAGTGGGCGTTCCAGCTTTCATGGTGGGCGGTAGGGGTTTTGTCCCCTACTTTATACATCACCATTACTGTGGAACCGGTGGGCGGTTAAAGAAAATTTTACTACCAGCAGAGATACAAAAGTGGGCGGTAGGTATAAAAAGGTTGACTACCCCTGCTCTAGACTGAGGTTGACATAACTCAGTCAGAAAGAATTAACAGAACTCAATAAATAAAAATGAGTACTAGCAGCCAATTTGTTTATATAAAGAGTTCTGTTGGCAACAGAGGGATAAAAGTGTTAAATAAGGTTCCATGACTTTCAAAGTCTATAAGCAACGTTTGGGTGGATGTTCTGATATTCTTATCAAAGGCAGAGAATGTCTTTTTTTAAGCATCTTACAACCTGGACAGAGGCGCATGGAACAATGCAGAATTTGAACAGGATCATAGCCATTATTTACTGTACCCCACAGACAACCAAATACACAGGTACTGCTACCTGGGAAGGTTATCACATTTGAAAGTAATCAATTTTAAGTTTATAGTGAGCAAGGCTGAAACAAAGAGTAGATGAGGCCAGAGGCAAACATTGGCAGTGGACAATACATTCTAAGCCTGATAACACCTTCTTCTCCCTGCTTTATACAGGTAGTCCTAGATGTCAACCCTGAAGCTGGCCTGGTTGGCCATTTTCTTTTCTATAGTTTTTCTGTAGGCATTTTCTTCACATGGCTTCAGGCTTGACACAGCCTGGAGCTTGGGGCAGGGAGGGAGGTGTAGAGATAACTGGGGTGCTGTAGCCAAAATAAAAATCTTTCCCCTGGGAACCAAGGACGTTGCCACAACTAATGAGTAGACTGTGTGCTGACTGGACCATGTGATTGATGACTCTGGGAGGAGATGTTTCTTACTTTTACTTTTAATTGGGTGTAAAACTGATGGGAAAGCCGGTTTTCTACCAAGTCTGTGCCAATATGACATGTCCCAATAAAATATTCTTTGAGGAATATGCCTGCTTCGCAGTTCTCTTTGTTGGGGATGTATTACTTGGAACCCTGACACTAGAACTTACGATCATTCGTTTAGTGACCGAAGTTTCAATGGCACCCAAAATAGTACGAACTTACAACCATCGCAATGTCTCTGCAGTCACATGATCAAAATTCTGGCTCTTGGCACCTGGCTTGTACTTATGACATTTGCAGATTCACGGGGTCATATGATTGCCATTTGAGACCTTCACAGCTGGCTTCTGATGAGCAAAGTCAATAGGGGAAGTCAAATTTGCTCAATGACTGTGTGATTCACTTAATAATTGCAGTGATTTGTCTAACAATCGTGGCCAAAATAAAAAAGGTTTTAAAATTGCGCATGACTCATTTAACAACAGGCCCCAATTGTGGTTATAAGCCAATGACTACTTGTATTCTTCTATTTATAAATAATTCAATAAATTATGATTAGGTTAATCATGAGTTAAGGTATTATATAGTGTATGAGCAACCTGTCATTCTAGAGTCAGGTGGCATTGAGATAAAATAAATAAATCTGTTTTTCAGAAGGAGAAAAAACTAAAGCTGTGAAGTAGAGAACGCTAGCCTTTACCAGGTTCGATCAAAACCAGGCTGAGGGAAGCATGTGGTTACAGGCTGTCCATCTCACTTGGAAAGAGGTTGCAATTCAGTGTTTCTGCTTTGCCGGTAGAAAATTCTAATCCCTGGTCAGCAGAATTGTGAAAAACTCTTATCTTGGACAGTTGTTCATGGAAAACACATTAGACCAATAATGAACTAGATAAATGTCTAGATTCTATTTCAAGTGTTTCTTATGAGATTTATATGTTTAGAATTCATACTGTACAGGAACACAACTTCTGCATATATGCACAAAATACTGAGATTCTCTGAATCTTGAGGAATGTTCTCATGTAAGAAACGGGAATAGCTTGGGGGCAGGGGATATAAGCAGGGGAATTATTATGAGCAGGGGAATTATTACTGGAGTCTTACGTGGGCCACGCTATGAAGAAATTTGAATCAGACAGGTGCTAGGAAAAGAGGTTCCTACTGAAAAAACTTTTTGTTATTGATTCTTTCTGAAAATACTTGCTCAAGGGGAGTTTCTCCCACAGAGTATATAACTAAGCTTTTCTAACAAGATTTTTGTTCTTGAAGTTGTTTTCAGAACGAAGATCTCTGCGGAGAGTACTCCTGGAATGCTAGAACAACTTCCCAAAGAGATATTTTTTATGGGGAATTTCTACACAGGGAGTTTTAGCATTTTCAGTGAAGGAACCAAATGGCAACTCTTAAAAAGGTTACTGTCGAAGGCTTATGTCTCAGACACTCTGGTTCAAATATCCTCTCATCCTCCAAAACTTTTCACTAACTTTGGATCTCTCTCTCTCTTTCGATCTAACTGACTAGACAAGGTGGTATTTTGGAGAAGGATTATATTATTATTCCTATTATATAGGGAAATGATCGTCATCTGAACTCTAGAGAGAAAAGCAGACTACGAAACTAATGCATATAAGTGCATATGGATATATACAGGCAGTTCTTGACTTACAACCACAATTGAGCCCAATTTTTGTTGTTGTTAAGTGAGATGTTTGTTAAGTGAATGTTGTCCCATTTTACGACCTTTCTAGCTGCAGTTGTTAAGTGAATCACTGCAGTTGATGGTTGTTCAGTGAATCTGGCTTCCCCATTAATTTTGCTTGTCAGAAAGTCGCCAAAGTCCCCTAGGAAATAGCAACAGTCATAAATATGAACCAGTTGCCAAGCATCTGAGTTTTGATCACGTGACCATGGGGACGCTGCAGTGGACATAACTGGGTAAAACGGTCATAAGTCACATTTTTCAGTGCCCTTGTAACTTTGAATCGTCGCTAAATGAACTGCTGTAAGTCGAGGACTACCTGTAGTTGTGCGTGCGCGCACGCATACACACACACGTGTATATCACATGCACGTGTTATCTACGTGATGCGTGTCAAACATACACACGACTATAGTATACGGTAGAGTGGCAACGTATAGCGAGGGCTTGGAGAGGAAAGTCCAAGCCACCCCTCCGCCTCCGCTTTACCTTCCTCTGGAGCTCCCAGGCTCCCACGCAGGCCTTGCCGAGCTGCGCCCCGAGAAGATGCTCCCCGCCTAGCAGCGTCAGCCCACGAGGGGCGCAGCAGCCCCCGCGGTAGCCGGCTACCGATGCCCCAGAGCCCACTTCCCACACCGAGCAGCAGCCGCTACCCGACGAGCTCGAAGAGGAGCCGCCGCTACCGGGTCCCAAAGAGGTCTCCCCCGCCGCCGCCACCACCGCCACTTCCACGGGGCCGCCAAAACCTCCGCCGGCGACCGCCATCTTGCCGGACCTCGTCGACACACCCCCTCCTCCTCAATGGTGCGCAGGCGCAGCAGGAAGTCGCGGTCTCGAGGAGGCAAGTTGTTAAACATAGAGATGAAAAGGCTAAACCAAAACTTCCGCCCTTGAGAAGTGTAGATCTAGCTAAGGATAAGCTTTCCTGTCAGATTGGGAAAGACCGTTGCAGTAAAAATGTATATACAATAACAAATATTGGGTGTTATAAACTCTTGAAGTCTGGAAAGATAGAAATGGTAAACTCATACAGCATAATATTTTCCTTTTCTGCTGTATTGATGTACATTCAATAGTGAAACAGAACACTGCAACTATGTTATAATACAAGGGTCTTCAAAGTTGGCAAGTTTAAGACTTGTTGGCTTCAACTCCCAGAATTCCTGAGCTAACATGACTGGAAGAGGAATTTAGGGGTCGTGCATAAGCGCAGGGACGTGCCTACCGTCCCTGTCCTATTGTTTCTTTTATATTTTTTATATTTTATTTTTCTTATATGTATCCATGTATTCATAACTATGTTTTTACTTATACCTATTATCTTGTAAGCAATTGACAAAAAAAAGTCCACAAGTCTTAAAGCTGTCAAGTTTGAAAGACCCCTGATATAATACATAATATTTCTCAACCTTGCCAACTTTAAAGATGAGGGGGTCTTCAACTCCCCCCATTCCACAATCAGCCATGCTGGCTGGGGAATGCTGGTCTTAAAGTTGCCATGGTTGCGAAACTGGTAATAAATTGTGTGGCTGTCATATCAATATATTCAGAAACACTGACTTTTTTAGTGGTGGACACCCTGAAAGCTGAAAAATTAGAATGTCCGAGTCAAAGTATTTTACATTTGTTTGTAACTTTTTGTTTGAAGTGTAGTTTTCCTAAAACAGCTATTTCCAACCTTGGCAACTTTAAGCCTGATGGACTTCAACTCCCAAAATTCCCCAACTGGGGAATTCTGGGAATTGAAGTCCACCAGGCTTAAAGTTGCCAAGATTGGAGACTCCTGTCCTAAAATATACAGAGGTCAAACATTTTATCTAATTGTACTAAATAGGACAATATAGGCATTCACACTCAATAATATTAAAATGGCAGAAGGGAATGTAAAAACATTACTTTTCTCGATCACCGCAAGGGCACTGCCATAATTTTTACAGTGTAGAATTAAATCATATATAAGTCTCTCTCTCACACACACATAATACTTCTTAGTGTTACATATCCTAGGGATGAGTGATGATAAGCTTTATCTTCCAGGCTGAGTTGAAATTAAGGTGGGCATCTAAACCACCCAACTATCTTATCTGATACAAATAAAGAGGATTACATGGCAAGTTTCTGTGGTGCATTCTGTCAGCAATATGCAACAATCTGGTAAGGGCATTAGTGTCATTAATTACTCCAGTCTGCTTTTAAAAGCAACAAATTCAGTTTGCTTCACAGGCTAATTAAATTAAAAGCTGACCCTTCCTCCAGCCCTTTTATAACTTGCTATCAGAAAATTTTGTTTATTGGGCAGTTTTAAAAATGTCAAAAACAACAACTCCACTAACTATCCAGCAAGTGAGCTCTCAGGTAATTTGTTTATTGGTTATTATCTTATTAACCTCTGTAAACTTACAGCAGTACAAAAATATTTTTTTTTCTTTGAATTAGAACACATTTCACAAGATTACATTAGAGGAAAGAGGCCAGTTCACCCCATCCTCCAAGCAACACATCTAGTTTTGCTAAGTTCCAGCATAGGGAACTATCAAAAACCAAACAAAAACATTCATTGGCATTACAGTAACTGAAAGTGTGGTAAGAAGGGGTGAGATGTTTAAACACACAGGAAAATTATTGGAATATTAAATATGACAGGTAACAGTGAGTGTGGCTGACAAACTTAAGAAAATAGCACAAGGCAAGTGCAATGCAGCATATGGCCCTCATCTTTTTATAAGGTGCATCATTAGATGACAGAGGGTGTACAAAGTCAGCTTTGTTTTTAGGGGGAGTTTTAGGAATGGGGAATACCGAAGACTTTGACCACTTTTGACTTATCAGGTCTACAACCAAAGATGAGCAATAGCTCAAGAGGACGGTGGTAGCAGCAATTACTGAGGCACAATCCCCTGGAAATCTCACCCATGCCAGTCCCTCTGAAGTGAATAGAGATTGTGACTTGCTTTAAACCTCATCCCCCACCCCACCAAGCAGATTCTAATCCTGATCATCTGTATTCTGCATATAGAGGCCAATGGGAAGACTCAGCAATGGGGTTTTATGCCTAACAAAGAAAGGGGAAAACACAGGAATTTGTATTCTTGAAGGCATCCTTGCCTTTTTTGAGTAAATTGCAGCTGGCTATTAACATAGCGTTTCCTATGGACACCAAACATTTTGGATGTTTGTTGCATAATTAATGGGGTCAGGAATTGCAAGATGCTCAGCTCAATCTACTGTTCTCTGTAAAAGTTGGGCTGCAAGGCCTTTACTGAGAAAGCCGCCCAAAACTAATCAGTCTGTCCAAGAGAAGGGAGTGGTTGGGCTGAAGGTTGCAAATTTGCAACTGCTTATCTGCCGCCACTCCTGATTCGCTGCCTTGCCAACTGTGCACTGCCTAATCCAGGTGTCTCCAACCTTGGCAGCTTTAAGACTTGTGGACTTCCAACTCCCAGAATTC